TTTTTGGGCGCCAAAGAATATGTCACGCAAAATTCCATGATCTCGTGCATGAGATAATAGGGACTTTAAGATAGGTCACTAAGGTAGGCTGGGACGGTTGGATGCGTTTACGGGCGACCAGGGGCCATGACGGTAAGAAGCCGCGAAAATTTTCAATTTAAGATCGGACAACAAAACAGAGGACGGTGAAGTCATGTGCGAAACTCGCTTGTCATTTCTTTCGCAGAAAGCTCAATTACTGAAGAAGAGTTTCTTGTTTTATACGAAGAATACCAATCAGAAGAATAAGGGTACAAATTAAAGCTAGCTAGCTAGTTTTCAAAACTGTAGTCGATGTTTTTATTTGAACTTTCCTTTCCTAAGCCAACACCCTTTGAGTTAAAGAAATCTTTTCTTGATAAAAAATGCAGTTTTAGGTTATGAAAAGACGGCTTCAATCATCACTGTTAGGCCCAGTTGAAACGTCGAACTTCTCATGTGCCGAAACTAAAGCACAAATTACTACAGCTGATTTCAGTGCTGTGTATACACCCAGATTTTTAGACATGATTCGACGGTCATGATTCGACCGTCATGATTCGACCGAGAGGTTACCAAGCAGTACAGTATTTTACCTTAAATATCCTACAGGAATCAAAGCACACAATCTGAAAGTTACTTTAATGAGAGCTTGAATGTTTCTCTTGTAATTCAGAAAAAGAGGACTGTGATCGCAATACATGTTATCGGGCGTGTGGACGTCTCGATCAATAAGTTTTTCGGCTCTTTTCCCAACTTTTTTTGGGCTTCTACCTTGATCTTTAAAGAAATATCATATTTTACCTTTTTTCAATAAAAACAAATGTTCCTTTCTTTTATGTATGGTTTTCTTTATTTGTGCTCACTAGGGTCATAGGTTGAGGACCTAACATTGTGATATTTTTCAATGGTCGGCAAAACAAAACTTTCCAACTCTCCAGCAAATTCTTTCACAACGGCAGACTGATCAATTTATCTGTTGATTTCTTCTGTAAAACGTCAAGTTTTCCTGTTATTTTTTAACGATGCATAAGCTAAGTAAGGACCAAAGAGTCAGGGTCGTAACGAGGTATATTTTTCCCGCCTGATCCCCCATTTCGACCTTAAATTTTGATACCTGATCCCAAAATTGCTGCAAATCTTGATCCCCGACCCCAAGAAAATTTTTTGATCCCTGCATTCAATCTGGGTTGGATTAGCTGCATATCATATAAAAACTAGACGCCTCTAGTCACGCATCACCATCTATCCTTGTAGACTACTCATACTAGTGTACTAGCTTCAGGCACCACATGGGCTCCTGCTTCAGGGGCATAGCCTGAGATCTTGAAGGTGTACGATGCAGTGATGAAAGTTGAAGCACCGAAGGCGGCCCAGCCTAGGGGAGTCAGGGGACATGCTCCCCCTAATTCTAATTTCTAATTTAGGGTCTCGGAAATGCTATTTCCAGCATTTTCTGCAGTGATCTGATACGCAGGAAAATGCAGTTAGGTAGCTATTGTTTACCTTACCCATCTCTCGAGTTGTCGGTGAGGTACACTCTTTACGGAAAAAAAGGGCGGGTGACACCCTCAGTGGTGGAATAAAAAAAGGATAACTGAGTATTCACTAACAAAAAGTCATTAATATAGTGCGAACGAGGTATCAATCATCCCGATTTTCAAGTGATAAAAATGCTTCTTCAGGAAATATTTTTTATTTTCTTATCTTAGCTGTACGGGCGCATGCGAGTATATGGACGCTCCATCAAAATGAAATCCAAATGAGATCTCTTTGGGCAAAAATTGGCTTGACCAGTGACCAAAATAGCTACAGAACTCTACAAGACCAGGATGATAAGAGAATCCCCATCGCAACAGGCGTAAAAACAACAACGGCTTACAATGTTAGTATAAAATTGAAAGGGTGTAGCGACAGGAAATTTAAAAGGAATCTGGCTTCACAATTTTGCATCAATTTATTTCCAGATTTATGGGGATTTTGTTTCCTGGTTTTTGGACGATTCGGCTAGATCGGTTTGCCTACAGTTTAGTACCGGATCCAAATAAATAAAAAAATACAACTGAATTTTAAAACGTTGGCAGGTCCCTTCATTTAAGGCGCATTTCAGAATTTTGTGGTCTTGGTTGTTATATTCGAGTGAGGAACGGCATCCCTGATCTCCTTACAGTATTACTGATCCCGATCCTACGGCTTGTGATCCCAGATCCCGGCGCTGTGATCCCTGATCCCTTATACCTCGTTACGACCCTGAAAGAGTACCAACTTGAACAAATACAAATTTGCCTCCCTGATAACTAAATTTGCATCACTGTTACATGTAAATTGGGGGTGGTATTCACCAACGGCGAAATACCGAAACCTTGTCAAATGGAAGAACACTAAACGATAAACCATCGGACTATTTCGCTTTTCGCCGTATTGATAATATTTCGTCCATTATGAAATCGCCTTCAGAAATACATCGAACTCCAGGTTTATC